GGGTCGTAGTCTATTTCTAGGAACCACCACGTTCATAGATCTGATTTGCAAAAGGAAAATTTCATTGTTCCGAAGACATGATTGTGTTTAACACAGGACTCTGAGAAGATATTAGTTATATTTGTTGTTCCGCAGTAAATCATAACAGGGAGGTTATGTTTGTTATGTTCTCTCTGCATCCTGCAAATTATATTTCATTAACTCTTTAATATGTTCGTGGTCAAGTCTAGGTTTTAGGCTATATAGAGATTTGTAAAGTAAGCTACGAATTGAAAAAATAACTTCACCGTTATATTTCTAACTATCATCAGCAAGAAATACACCGTTTTTTATCAGCTTACCGATCACACACACATAGCTTTTCTGTAAACCTCACACCTCTACTACTATTATTTACGAAATTTTTAAGACTGTCATTAAAGGTGGAAATAAAACCTTTGGTGAAATAAGAAACACTAGTTTTCACAACACAGGCGTCTACATCTTAATACATGTTAATAGATAAGTTTCATATGAAGGCAACAGGTAGGGGGATTTCGAGGTAAGGAAGGAGTAGACTTAACGACAGGCAAGTTAAGTAACTGACGTAACTTAAACCTTTCATAATTCCTATAGACACCAATAGTCTGCAGTTAATATTACAGTACATCTGCTGTTGAATATCCTCGTTTACAGCTGAGTGGCTATGTGAGTGATCCCTTTATAAATGTATGTATGGAAGGAGGCATGGAGTTCGGTGCAGGTACAGCTTTTTTGTTAATGAAAGAGAAAAATCAAATGGACAATTATTGTCTGTACGCTTGCCAAGGAAAATCCGGATAATGTTAAATGTAGTTTGGTCATCAATCTGTTCAGTATAAGTGCGTTACGTTCTTACAAGAATGTTAATTTCTATTATTATGCCGTTTCCATTTTTGCGGTATTTTTCCTGTGAAATGTGTATATACTATTGCCACTAATATTATCATTATCTTCATTATTATCATCATCTTTATCATCATTATCATCATCATTGTTATCATCAAAATTATTATTGTTATTATCATTATTTTATTAGGAATATTACTGTTATTATCATTATTACTATCATTATTATCATTATCATTATCATTATTATTATTATCATTATTGTTGTTATTATCATTATCAATATTATTATAATTGTTATTATTATTATTATCATTATCATCTTTATCATTATCATCATCATTATTATTATGTTATTATCATTATTGTTATTATCCTTATCATTATTATCATTACTACTATTATCATTTGTATTATCATTATTGTTATAATTGCTATTGCCATTGTTATCATTATTATTACTATTATCATCATCACCATTATAATTATTATCATCATTGTTACTGACATTATCATCATTATTTTTTATCATCATCATTGCTATTATATAAAAAAACAAGGGGGAGAAGAAAAGGAGGAAGAAAAGAAAGAGGAGGAACGAAGGTAGAAGAGTGATAGGAAAAGATAGAGAGAGAAAAAAAGAAGGAAGAGGAACAGAGGAGAAGGAATAAGAATGGGAAGCTAAGAGAGGATGTGAAAGAAGAGTAGAAGATAAATAAAAGGGAGAAGGAGGTGAGGAGAGAAGGGGACAAAGGAGAAGGAGAAAGAGAACGAGGAGAAAGAAGGAGGAAAAGTAGGAAGAATATAGCAAAATGGATAAGAAGACGGCAAGAGAGGATGAGAAAAGATATAAGGCAGAAGGAGGGAAAAATGGAGGAAGGGACAAAGTAAATGAAACATAGGAGCAAGAGGGGGATTAAGAGAAAAAAACGAAAAGAAAAAAAGTAAGGGATAGAAGAACAAGAAAGAAGATGAAGAAGAGGAGAAGGAAGAAGAACAAGAGAAAGAGAAAGAGCGGAAAGCGGAGGAGGTGACGTAAAAGCGGAGAAAGCGGAGGAGGATGAGGAAGAGGAGGAGGAGGAGGAGGAGGAAGAAGGACTGGCATATGGCCACTTTATACTCGATGTTGGTTGCTATGGTTAACCTCTCACAACAAGACGTCGAGGAGGGTGGGGCGGGGGGGAGGGGGGGAGAAGGAGGAGAGGAGAAGGAGAGGGGAAGGAGAAGAGGGGAAGGAGAGGGGAAGGAGAGGAGAAGGAGGAGAGGGGAAGGAGAGAGGGAGGAGGGGAGAAAAGACGAGATGTATGGCGACAGCGCACGTTTGAACAGAAAAAGCTAACACATCGGCTTCGAGTTAAATGAATGGAAATAGTGTTGGTCGCGCGGCGCCAAAAAGTGATATCGATATAGACTGATAAATAAAGGGAGCTAGACAACAAAAAGAGAGAAGACTAACAGATCTAAAAGCTATATATAAAGAATGCACACACCCACACACACACACACACACACACACACACACACACACACACACACACACACACACACACACACACACACACACACACACACATGAGCGTGTATGTGTGTGTGTGTGTGTATGCATATATATATATATATATATATATATATA